CGAAACCTAAAAGAAAGAAACTAGTTTAGGGGAAAATATTTCAAAAGAGTTGTGGATATAGTAATGAACTTATTATCATGTTAATAAAATGATTACATTATTTTTTATATAACTTTTTAGATGTATAAATAATGCATAATGACAGAAGAAATTATACTGAAGAAACGTATCAGGTATTTGATATTTCAAATATTATTTAAGGTAAAATTTCAGTCATATAATGCCAAAATGCTAACACAATGTTGAAGAACTGATTCAATGCTTATTATTGTTTCTATCAGTTATAATAGACTTCTGACAATTATGTCATTGTTTTTGAATAATATCTGATTTCATACATTAAATTTTAATGTAGTTATACTCATTTAATGAATAATCTTGAAACTTCGCTCTCCAATCCAAATTTTTTAATTGATAAACTTATAAAAATAATTGCAAATTTTAGTTGTTTATAAACTAATGTTACATACCTTCTACCAATTTCTTTGATTTGTTTTTTATTATCTAATCCAACTTCCCAAAAAGCACTGAACACGTCTGCTGCAACCATCTGGAAGAAACAAAACACATTAATAACAAATAAAAAAGTATTAAACATTTAATATTGTGTATATATTTTAAATACAAATATATAAGTTTCTTCCTTGCCGAAAATCTTAACTAAAGTACACTAAAACTGTTCGTCTCTTCTTATATAGAAAAATTAACTTTTGCACCAACCTCTGACCACAGAAAAGAAAAGTACGAAGCAGGAAATTCATCACAGAATATCTCTCTGAAAGAACAAAGGTGATTATCATGTTGATCGAACGGCAACGGCATGTAGCACATCCACACGTGTCTGGAGATGTCCAACCAAAAATCTCTCCTGAAACAATTTGAAAAATTAAATATAATTTCCTTAATACACTTTTATATTATAAAGTTATTCCAAGGATCAGAGTGTACAATTTCCAGGAATATAACAGATTAATTGATAATCAGACAACTGTTAAATATCTTGCATGTTGACTGGTAGAAACTTAAACTGAATACATATTTTCAAAAAATCTTGAACTAAAGTTTTGAAATATAGTTGAATATAGTTCATTGTATATGAAATATACAATGCACAAAGTTTCCATACATTAATATACAATTGGGACTATGTAAAACATACAGTTTCATTGCTGTTACCAAAATTCCAAATAGAAGTTGAGTCACCTTTGTACAATGCTGTAATATTAACAAATAATAATTTGATATGATGGATTAAAAGAAGGAAAACACTGGTCTAATAATGCAATTGCCCATTGCAATCTGATCAACTATAAAACTAACTATAATAAGTAAGACAAACAGCCTTTGTTGTAAATATTAAGAATACAGACATCCAATTATTAGTGAGCAAATAATCTGCACACTAATAGTTGCAGCATAATATTCTCAAACGTTTTCGTTTTGACAGATGCTTTGATCCATTGTTCCCAAAATCTGTTAAATTTTAATAATCAGTAATAGACATACAATGTTAAAGAATCAACAGAAAATATTTCTGTTGATCAGAAAAAATCATTTGAACATAAATAATTATAAGTTAGCAACAGAATTTATAACTTACTTAGAATATAACTCCAAGTCCAAAGCACTCTTGTACAATTGTTCTGCTAAGGTATAACCTGCCATGTGGATTCGATCTAAAATAAAATCCTTTGATCATCTTGCATTCAAATCCCACCTTTTTAAACTGCTTCTAGCCCTCTAGTGGTAGTAACGAGTATCTTACATTATTTGCATATAGTTACAATCTTTGTGATTACTCAGGATGTATTTTCTTCATAATTTGAAGTTTGGACTATGTACAAAAAGTCTAAAATAACTTTTGAGTCCATCTTTATCCCTTATACACTACCACAGAAGTAACAGTCTAAAAAAATGCTTTGAAGAACTCTTCTTATACACAGGTAAAAATTGGTAAAAAATCTCACAAGGTTAAAAAAGATCAAGTGTCAGCCTTTCATTGTAGGTTTCTGACACTTTTACAATTAAAAACACAAAGAAATTCTTCACACTATCATTTTTATCCAACTTTTTAAACAGCTTCTAGCCCTCTAGTGGTAGTGTATAAGGGATAAAGATGGACTCAAAAGTTATTTTAGACTTTTTGTACATAGTCCAAACTTCAAATTATGAATTTAAATTTCAATTTTTCAAGTGTTGAACAAAATTAAATAATTTCGTAAAACTATTTACTGATGTAACCTGAAGATAATTTTAAAAAACTGTAAAGGTTAGACGTATCAACTCTTGTTTTATTGGAACACAAAAACAGTGTTCAGTAGTTATCTAATAACTATTTGAGCTATGCAAAGGTTGTGTGAACCTCTGAAGGTAAACTGACAAAGCTTAAAAGTATTAAGAAACTGTGGCGAACGCCACCCTTCACATCTGTACCCTTAACAGTTGTAAAATACAAGCAATTACTCCTGGATGTATGAGTCATCACTTCCTGGAATAAATTCGAACTCACCCCACAAAGAGCATCGAAAACCACTTGTGTTTGTTTGCCATGTCATCGAGACTGCAGTACCAAGTACGCGAGAAGGACAAAAAAAGTTTTTGTTATGATCTTGTCTCGTTCGTTTCTTCCACTCGCAGCAATGAAAGATAAAGGCAATAACAACCCAAATACCACAAAACTATTAAAATTGTTTTTGTGCTCCAATAAAGCAAGAATTGACATAGTTTATTAAAAATTGGAGATTTAATGTTGGATGAAAATGTCAATAATATTTTTTATGCAGAATCTTTAACCAAAGTTTTGAATATCTATTTGATTATTAATATGATTTATAAATATAAAAAAATTGTAATAAAAATTGTTCAGAAAATCATTCGAACTAATAGAATACAGAAATAATTTAACTACTTTTTAATAATATCAAATGTTTATTCAAATATAAACAAATATATACAAAAACTGACATTTTATATACAATCAATTTCTTTGAACTTCTATTCTTAAAATTTTCATATAGCATAATCTTGGTTTACATATAACTAAGATTAATTATAAATATATACTAAACTTCTTGATTCTGGTATCCAACAGATATTTATTAACTGAGTTTAGTTATTAATTAAGATTTATTGAGTTAATTATAAGTTAATCAACAGCTTCAATTTAAAAATGGAAATCCATTTTTTTATGTTAGGTATCAAAATCAAGTTTAATGTGTGTTTTTTATTCAATGTTAGTAAAGGTTGAACTTCTAATCAATCATTTTGTGGTCTGGCACATTTTGGATCCACCACCACTAATTTGTAGATCTGTAATGTCAGCATTTCTCAATCTTTAAGCCCAAGGACCAGTAAAATGTCTGAAAAATTCTACAGATCACTGTTATGTAGGCTTTTTTTTAAACCTACATAGGTATTACCAACATTTGAGGTCTACTCATTATATAAATATAAATTTCTAACATTCTATGAGTAGACCTGATATTGGACTATAATCTGAAAACATTTGTCTAAAATTGATTAAAACATATTGATTAAAATTTTGCTGGAAAAGTAAATAAAGGTTATTCTTTGGTGTTTTGAACTGTTTTCCAGTTAATATTGTGCATAATTCATACAATTAATGGTTGGCAAATTTTTGTGCATATAATTTGTGATGTATAGCCTGCAGAAAATTGAGAACAAAAATAAACTTTTGCATAACCAGATCCATCATATTCTCTGCACCTATGGGAGCTGCCATTTCTTCATAGATAGGAGTTTGTGATTGCAATTTAAAATTGGCATGTAACCTTCCCATTACATAACTTATACCCCTTTTAAACCTTAACCTATAGATAACTCACAGACATACACACAAAAATAGATTCAGTATAATATAAACTTTAATTGTATTTAAATAAGAAAATATTTAAAATCTAGCCAGAAGTCTTAAAATAATGTTTTTCACTTTTTAAAAGCCATCTGTAGGTTGCAATATACAGGTAACCCCTGTATAACACGGTACTTCTATAGCACGGATTCGCTCTAACACAGTTCGAGAATTGGTACCGTCCCCCGTATAACACGGTACTTTTATAGCACGGATTCGCTCTAACACGGTTCGAAAATTGGTACCATTCCCCGTATAACACGGTACTTTTATAGCACGGATTCACTCTGACACGGTTCGAGAATTGGGTAAAAACCTCGTACAACAGGAAATG